AATTAAACACCTACTCATCATATTTCATTATTCCACAAATTTATGTGAAACGATATTTCAAAAGTTTAGTCTAAATGTAAGTGTGTATGACGTCACATTCATTGCAAAAATTACTGAGAACTACAACGTATTCACATTTATGCCAGAAATGGATTCATCCTCCTGCACAGCACGACAGGAATTACCACCAACTATTTTGTCATCTTGCAGTTCTAAAGAGAATTTCAATGCGTTCCCATCAAAAAAGCTCCGAAACCTCATGAAATGCCCTTTTAAAGTCGGAATGGCAGCACTTTTTCCATTTTCAACTATAACGAACAAAAGTGAGTTGCAAAAATACAAACATATAGAAGAAAACGAAATCCATGGATCGGACTTGGAAACATTGAAAATAATGGCTCAGAAATTTAATTTTACTCTAGATTTTTATTTTATTACTACAGAATTTGATAATGATTTTTTAAATTACCTTCTGAACGGTACCTTTGATTTGTGTGCCGGAGGCCTTTACAGGATTTATGGAGACGTGGTAGAATATTCAGGAGTGTATAGCAGACAGGCGTTTATCTGGATATACGCAGCCAAGAGAGACTCCCGATCATGGCAGGATTTAATCAAAAAGGCGAACGGACTCTATATTTTTGTTATTTTTTATTTTGTGTACTCCTTCACTTGGAAATTTTTCAGCATATTTGACAGAAAACCGGTGCCAATAGGAAGGTTGCTGCTGGATAACTGGGGAGCTCTTACTGGGACGTCCTCTATACATGAAGGGACTACATTCAAACAGAAAATTTTGAATATATTTTACTCTATCCTGTGTATATATTTGTCAGCGTATGTGAGTATACAGATGTACTCGTTTCTAACAATCGTTTCACCACCAACGACTTATAAGACAACCACGGCGATAGTACAGTCGGGTTTGCCGCTATATTTGATGGAGAGGTATAAGTATTTTATACAGGATACTTATTACATTAAATTCGCGAATACATCCAAGATTTGCAAGTCGATTCATGATTGTGAAATAAAATCTTTGGAGTACAACGGAGTGACGGTGGTTATTGACTCTTCATTTTTAACGCTACAGGCCGATACTGCAGTAAAGGGTGAAGCAATAGTCCTAAGAGTGAATGAGAATTTGTTGACCGTTTATCATGAGATGTTGCTTAGAAAGGATTTGCCTATAGTATATCATTTCCAGAGATTGATGGTGTCATTACGAGAGTCTGGAATTGGTGATCGGTTGTACGCCGAAGCTCTGGGAATACTGATGAAGGCGAAGGCAGAGAGCGCAAATAAGAAGATGCTAAGCTCCAGTTACAGCTGTGTGCTGGGTTGTAGTATCACACTGCTGCAGAGCGCTGGTGCATTTTATATGTGGATGGTTGGCTGCGGACTGTCATTTTGTGTCTTTATCATTGAAATTACAGCGAAGAGGGATTTGATCCGCAATTACGGTGAGAAACGAGTTGTTCTAAAATACAATGACTGATTTAATAAAGAAAAATTATATCGATGACATCACATTTTGTCTTCAACTAACTACTGAAATAATGATGCAATTTTGTGATTTACGTAATAACTGTATTGCTGAGTGACTTGTGCAAGACATTAGATATAAGGTGTTTGAATTTTCTGCACTTTGTGGTTTAATTTTGACACGTCTTGTATGTATACAATTGATATTAAAAATCTTGTATTAATACGGTCACCAGAAACGGATATGGACATTGTGTAGCTAGTTAAGAAATTAATATTGCTTGTCCAACATTCTTAATGTTATAGTTATAAGTCAGGCACCGAGAAAACTGGTATTTGTACCATTAACTTGAAGCTTAGTTGAAGTTCACTAAGGCCCAGAACAGACGGTGAAACGCAACTGCAACGAAACTGCAACTGCCAGTTACAGTCTAAGTTTCTGCCATAGCGTCCGGTTTGAGAGAGACATGACGCGACCAGATTGAAACTTTCAATTTCAGTTTCATTCATCAGAATCATCAGAAAGTTGCAATTTCGTTGCAGTTGCGTTTCACCGTCTGTTCTGGGCTTAAGCCCACCAAATTGTACACTAACCGGTTCGCTCATGGTATACTCTCGCATCACAAGTAAATGAATGAGTAGTTCATAATATTTTTGATTACACAAGCTTTATTAGTGGCCAGCATTAGCATTTAAAATAACTAAGTACTGGTGATAAAAGGTACAAACCAATGCTTAGGAGTTGGAGGATAACTTTATAATTATTAGCTTAAATACCGATAGTTGTTTTCTTTGTTTATATGGAAGCTGATGATGTTAGATAAAAATAAGATAACATAAAAAAAATAAAACCGACTCCAAAAAACCTACACTAAAACGTCGAAAAATAATTACTAATTACCTACTTATTTATTAGGACGAATTTTATGTAGGTATACCATGATTGATACTTCTGGAGTCGGTGCCAAGATTATGAAACATGTAAAGTTTGCCTGCACCGACTCCAAAAGTATCAATCATGGTATACCTAGATAAATATTAATAATTCGTCCTAATAAATAAGTAGGTAATTAGTAATTATTTTTCTACGTTTTAGTGTAGGTTTTTTGGAGTCGGTTTTATTATTTTTTTTATAAAATTTTACTTATTTCTTGCTTTTTAGTTAACTAATTATTACCTTGATGTTACCACTGAAGGTAGGCAGTACACTGAGACCAAAAAAAATTGGTTCATAATCAGCGGAGATATTGCGTATAAAAAAGTTCATCCCCAATTTTCCACCCTTGGGGGTGAAATATTTTCTTCAAATTCGCATGAAACCACCCTTTTGATAATACCTATTCAACAAAAAAATAATCGTTCAAATTGGTTTATATTCGGCGGAGATATTGCGTATAAAAAAGTTCATCCCCAATTTCCACCCTTGGGGGTTGTTTTTTTTATTATTAAATTTAAATGGGACCACCCTTGAGGTATAACCTATACGTCGAAAAAAGATTCGTTCAAATCGGTTCATAATTGGCGGAGTTATCGCGTAACAAACATAGAAAAAAAAAAAAAACATACGGGTCGAATTGAGAACCTCCTCCTTTTTTGAAGTCGGTTGAAAAGTGTAATTATTGTGTAAAATGCCTGTAACGGATTTTTTTATTAATAAATATTTTGTCACCCAGTCGACATTGGAAACTACCTATTTATTACCTAATTACTCGAAGAGTAAAGTACCTTTTTATGTAAGTTTTATAGCCGGTTATCTACTTTCCCACATAAATCATGAAATGTACGAACACAGTATTTTATCTTTCGGACTTTTACTACGGCGTGAGTGAATTATTATCTTATGAAAATGAAGCTTGATTTTATTTTCATGAAATATAGCTCGCAGGTATGATTACTCTTACCTTGCAACCGTTAAATTTATTTTTACACTAGTTTTTGCCCGCGGCTTCATCCACGTGATATTTAATTTGTCACAGATCATCATTAATTATAGCCATCATTGTTATTCTGGGTTATAAACAATAATACTGCAAAGTTTCATGAAAATCCGTTCAGTAGTTTTTGCGTGAAAGAGTAACAAACATCCAGACATCCATACAAACTTTCGCATTTATTATATTAGTAGGATACCTGCACTCCTTTACTGGAAAGACAAAATCTTTTTATGATTTATTTAACTACTTAGTATCATTGGTGAAAATTGTGGCTTGAGGATAACAATATAATAAATTATTTTAACAATCACTATGAGTATTAACTCAAGAATAGATTCAGTTTAGATCGAATTTTGAGCGTCATCGAGTCATAAAATCGCACACTGTACTCGTAGGTAACCCGCTGAAAAAAATGTTAGGACGCTCATAGTTATTCAACTACTGGAATAATTTCTGCTGAAGATAAATTTCAATCGCAATAAAAAATATCCGCTCATCAAAACCCTAAACCGCGTAAAAAATGTAAGCTTGCGATTTCCTTGGGGATTCATTAGCAACTTGGAATTAAAGATTCCGCTTCATTTAGATCAAAGTTTCTCAAACTTTATAGGCACATAGCTACTTTTTCTAAAGTGAAAAAAGTTTCAGGCTACCTCTGGGTAAAGAAGTATTTTATACTAGCTTTCCGCCCGCGGCTTCGCCCGCGTGGAATTTTGTCTGTCACAGAAAAACTTTATCGCGCGCGTCCCTGTTTCAAAAACCGGGATAAAAACTATCCTATGTTCTTTCCCGGGACTCAAACTATCTCTATGCCAAATTTCATCAAAATCGGTTGCGAGGTTTAAGCGGGAAAGCGTAACAGACAGACAGACAGACAGACAGGACATTTCGCATTTATAATATTAGTTGGGATCACTTCGCTGGAAACCTTCCCATAGGATTGTTTGGGTAAAAGAGCACTCGGGAAAAAAGGGTTCAAAAACTCATGATCATTGATCACTTCTGTTTTAACTATGTATTTGTGTAGTTAAGGTGTTTTATTTGATTTCAGTTCACAAAGTTGGTTCTCTATTCCATTTCAAAGATTTTCATTTTCATTTTAGACTCCATGGAGGTCGCAACGGACCTATGGGGGTTGATATAGACCACTTTGAGTACCACTGATTAGGTCGTCAGCGACCTGCCGCGGTTTAATTGAAACCCGCTCGCCGGTGCTGCCCTCTGCGTTTTGTTGCTTTTACAGGCTAATGGAATTTTATCGTTTTACAGCGTGTGGTAAGCATTTAATGTTGAAGGACGGAAAATATTGCAATTTCAAACTGAGATAAACATTATTTATTGAGAGCTACTATTGGTCTCAAAAATTAAATAACAGTTTAATAAATAAAACAATTTATTTATTTACAACGGGAGAACGTAGCACTTATTATATTTTTAGAACACATGTAGGTATAAGATTCAACAGAAAAATATAAAAATGATAAAAATAAGGTTTCTTCGACATATACAATGAATGAACTTATTTTTTATGAATTAGAATGTTACACTGGTTACAAACAGTTACATTACTATTTTCTATGACTCTCTCAAGGAATTTTCACTCGTATACAAACAAAGTTATTTATATGGATCTCATTGAACAAGCTTTTATTATTATAATTGACTAGATTAGGTATCACTTTGTAGCATTATTATTATTGTAATATTCTTTGTAGTCTTCGGGACTTCTTAAGATTTAGTTTAGGCATTAAATTACAAAATTCCAAATTATGATTTAAATGGGTATTTTTTCGATATCAGAACTAATTTCAGACAGTTCAATAGACTACACAAGAAAGTGGAATATGTAAGAAAATCTTAAAAAGCGTTGAGAAATATTAATCCTCCTTGTCAGCCCAGATGCTGTCACCGTTAGCTTCGCTTGGGCCCTTAATGAATTTCTGGACTACTGGTAGTTTGTACATATAAACTGACAGGATGGATCCTGCACATGCCCCTATCCAGTAAACGACTGCATGCTCTAACATGGTGTGACCCTCGCAGCCAGCTTTCAGAGACGTGGCGAGCACTGGGTTGAAATACCCCCCGGAGTAATCGAACGCTGTAACAGAATTCAAAAAATGAATATGAAGTTGTAAAATTTTTATAATGTATATGGATGATTTATTGTTCAATTTACTTGACTTGATGATCATTGAGGAACATTATAATACCTACAACTATATTAAATACAGAATGAGTTCTACGTTATCGAGATGAATTTGCAATTTGTTTCTAACGACGATCATTTGTGCATGAAAATAGATTTTGTTCACTTGAACAATCTATACTGTACAGTTTGAGATGTAATGAAAATGCAGATCAAATACATAATTTTGCACAAATTTCCCTGTAAAACAAAAAGCTGTGTAAAAAAGAGCGTATTTGATGAACATTTCACGAGAGCGATGCATGTTGTTTAATGCGTGACCATGCATGTTTGATAGCAGTTCTGTTAGTTGACATTTAATGTTTACATAACGATGTACCTTTTCCTAAATGGACTTTGCAAAAGATCGACACACTTAGGTCCGCATTGGCACTATTGTCCTGATATCGGTAGACGAATACCTTGTGCCTAGTGAGGACCCCTGCAACAGTGAACCCGCGTGTGAGACATGTGAATGTGATGTGAAAGAGACTTCTAAGTATGCTACTAGATAAGCTGTTCAAGGTAAAACCACAGTGAAAGAAAACTTCAAATTAAAGTAAATAATAATATAACATGCGGCCATCGGTCTCAATAAACGATATTATGAGTTATACTTTGTCGACGGCATATCTACTCGTATTCCTTGCTCACTCAGAACCTTAGAATCAGTTGTTGACAGTATAGCCAGTAGAATGAGCAATATCTTAGTTCAGAGTAGCCTTTCTAGTAGCATTTACCTATGTACAGACGACGGCACATCAAGCCAAAACACTGTGGTGTCGTAAGTAGTTGTAATAAGGGAGATATTGCAAGAAAAATGCCTAGCTTGATATGCTGTCGTTTGTATAAAGAAGCCTTTGGTAAAGGTGTGTTAAATGTAGGTATGAATACCTAGAGGCGAAATACACAGCAACTAAATTTATGTGAGCAAACACACTATGAAATAAACGCTTTAAGAAAAATAAGCAATGAACGAGTAATCCGAAACATTTAAATCTATTTCACCTTTAAAGAATTATAAGAGTTTACAGAGTAGTTTTGTTGTTGTTAGTATGATTATTAATTGTGAGCAACGCCATTAAAATAAAGGTATTTTGATGTAGCCATCTATGAGAATAATTTTAAATTTTTATAATTCTTCTGTACTTTTACGACTTTACAGGAAAAATTGTAATATTGTGAATAATCCAAATCTAATAATCAATTATTACAGTGTGTTTATAATAAATACAATAAAAAGTTCTTATTATTTTTGAAGACAGTTAAAAAAAGTCGTATTTTCTCCTATCCAGTTCTTTTTAAAATTCTAAAATTTTCTTTAAAAATGTTAACGTGGTAATTGTTTTTAATGAACCACTTAAAACCGACCAAGCATCGTTAGTACTTTTTTAAACTAGTGCTATTTCACGCACTTCAAATAGATTTTCTTCCTTTTTTACAATTAAAAGCAAGAAACTTCTACAAGCTTTTATAAGAGCACTAATTTAAGTAGATGCCCCAGAAAAAGTGGCTTAAGCTAATATATCGCTTACGAGCTAACACTGAGCCAAACAATTATTTCTTTAATCCTCTTTGCATTCTCAACTAAGTAAGTAAATTGAAAGAACAGAAATTGTTTCAGTATCTTGGTGACTTTTTTAAACTCCATTTTCTCTCAAAAAAAAGGTTATACCATGTTTTTATGGAATCTTCTATACGTTTTAACATTTTGAGTACCTTTACAATCTGTTTGTTATGTAAAATGTACGAGTACAAACAAACAGCAATTTCTTTACTTTCATCAAATTATATCAAATACATTTTTCTGTAAAAATTTTGTTGGAATCATTTAATGGGTGTATTTAAAAGATAGTTGTCTTGTCATCACGGCCTTTTTACTTAGGACCCATGCACACCACGTTTTTAACTAAGAATAAAGAATTCTCACCAGCCACCACCAAGGAGGTTCCAATGAAGGAATCTATGGCGGTCGCGAAGCGGGGGTTGAGGTCTCCCAGTGCCTTTGAAGCCAGCCTGCACATGCATGTGGCCACACCTTCGACGACAGCGCCGTAGAGCACTGGCACCTGAAATGTATCATCATTATCATTACTATCTTCGTTATCATCATCAACGACATCATTATCATCATCATCAGGTCTTATAGGCTCTATTACAAAAGGAGCAAGACCTCTATTCTACCAGAAGCAATGGAGGCTCGGGACTACACTCATAACCCTGTCCTTTTGGCCAATCCTGGATTGAATTATGAATATCATTTTAGTAGTGTCATAAGTTTAAGTATAACAAAAACTCGAAATAACTAAGGCTGAGTTGCAATAACAATGACCGGTGCTTTTTTTATGGAGATTGATAGACTTTTGGCATTTGTCAAAGTTAAAGTAAGATGGTGCAACCCAGCCTAATATTTTGTTGTAATGGTATTATAACAATAAATGCATGTGCCCTAACGGACTCTAGTGCGTGCATTCAAAGAAACGCCGCCTTGTCTGGAGAGGACAAATTAATGTGGCACCCCTTGTTCAAACCTAGATCTTGATGACCTACATTTGGATTAAGGTGCAATGTTAGTCTCAAAAACAGCAATCAGCAAAACACACAAACTTGGTTAAAAACGCACACAAGTAAATTTTTTCAGCAAGTAGTTCCCATGGGATCTTAGTTTGATATTATGTGAAACGACACCTAAATAAATATTTACAATGGGGAATAGATGAAAGCCTCGAATATAGTCAAAGTATTAAATTGCAATACAAAGCTTGAGTGAGAATAATATTTTGAGAATGTTAGAAATACATATAACCAGTGGCTCTCATAGTTCAATCTTCTTTAACAGTTGTAACTACTGAGGTCAAATTAAGGGCTAGATTAAATTAGCCTTTATTAGCCCTAAACTAGCCTCACGTGGCCTAATCAGACTAATGTCTAGGAATATGTGATAGGTAATTCAGTCCACGTATTATAATGGAGCATCTACAAACCCTTTACCTATAATATGTATACATTCACAGTCAAGAGAACGTTAGTATACCTATACCTATATCGGTACCTACCGATCACTCATCATACGATCTCGTTTCCATTAAAGTCTGATCCGTCTTACTTAATTCATCTCGAAATAATTGGTTTCTTATCTGCGGCAGAAACTTCGACGTTAATGTACCTACACTCAATAGAATTTAATATCTTATTTCAACAGCCGATTGTCCTAAGAGTTTCGCCACTTAAAGAAAGCATGACTTAGCCCCGAAGTTCGTAATGAAAGCTCGTCCCGAAGCTCGAAGCCCGACTTCTATTTAAAGTTCACTTTGATAATTTTGCTAGTGAAAGGGACTGAAATAATAAAAACGGACAAAGGGGATTTCGGACTCGTTTGAAGCATGTGTTGGAGATAAAATTTATCAAGCGATTTTAATTTATGATACGTGTTTTTTTTGGTCCACTGAATCTTTACAAAGTCTATACTTTATCCGTTACTAGCGGCCGCCCGCGACTTCTTACGCGTAGAAACTTCCAACCCCCGTTTTACCCCCTTAGGGGTTGAATTTTGCAAAATCCCGTCTTAGTGAGCACCTATGTTCTAAAAGGAACCCCCATGCAAAATTTGAGACTCCTAGCACTTGTAGTTTCTGGGATTTCGTGATGAGTGAGTGAGTCAGTCATTCAGTCAATCGCTTTTATAGATTTGTGGTTGGGAATGTAACGGTTACAGCAAAAAATTACGTTCTCATGGAGTCGCACTGTTTGCTGGTGGAGATTTAATTGAATTTTGATATAATATTTTAACAGTAACTATTATTTTAAGACAAAACACGCACATTGGATTGAGTTAGAGCACATGCATTTTAGTTGCTTACTATCAAAATATTACGTTCTATTAATCAGATAGGTAGAGATACTTGTAATCAGAAGTAGGCGCAGTTGTTTTTCTTTTAAATTAACATAAGCTTAAAAAATATTCTTGGTTTACAAAACATTACATAGATGTAACACAAAAACTTTATCGCCTCACACACAAATGCCAAAGTACTGACCTGCAAATCAGCCTTGCAGTCTTCGAATGCCTTGTCCTTATGAGTGTCGGAGATCTCGAGGGCCCAGTACATCTGCACGTACTTGAACACCAATAGACCACCGGTCAGCTCGGCCCATGTCTTGAGAAGCGCTTTTCGGACGTCGCCTTTGCCTGGTTGATAATATATAACGTATTAGGACATTACTATCATAATCAGCCTAGCTCATTTCGTCTCCCCTGCAGAAGATAGCCCTCTATAATTTACCAGAAGTAAATGAAGGATTTGGTCTACACTCCATATCCTGATCAGACGGGTTGGGGAGGCAGTAGACCTTTCACGACATCTCGACAATGTCCCTCTCCTCCGTTTGGAGGGTGGGGTCCTATCCTACAATTCTCGCTATCCATCCACCCGGCTACTGATTGTTAAATAGTAGTCAGGTACTTTCGACATGTGTCCCTGATGAAAATTTAATTTTGTCACAAGTTCAACTTTCATCAGTTTTTTTAAGAATATTACTAATTTGTATTGTACAATTTTACCTTCGATGACATCCTCGATGTGGGTGTAAGGGCAGGCAGTGGCGTCGCCCCAGTTGAGCGACCACCAGATCGTGAGCGCGAAGAGGAAGATTGCGTATGTCCCGACTCCGAAGTTATCCGCAACTGAAAAATATCAGATGTAAACAAGTAGTTATTATCATTATCATAATATTATTATTATCATTACAGCTGTAGGACGTCCACTACTGAACATAAAAGCCTTCCTCAATGATTTCCAGATAGGGCGGCTGCAGCGTTTGCAACTGCAACCTATAAAAGGTCCATTGACCACATTGTGGGTAGACAATAGACATCCCATGCTGCGCATGGCTGGTACGTGTCCTTCATTTCAGAACTTTGCTCCATTCCAAAACCTAAAAATATAATTAAATACTACAATAACAACATTATATCCTACCTATTGGTTGTAATGTAAACGATGTCGTTTTAGAATTAAATTCATAATGAAAGCATTGGTAATTTTGATGAATTGTTTAACTGTCAAAGGTTTGACCACCGAAAACATCTAGATAGAAACTCAAGTACGTAATAAATTATGTTAAAAAATAGAGACCAGGCTATAGAGTCCAATGTGTCAACTACATAAGTATATTTAAATTAATGGTTTGGTTACCTAATCAAAACTCTTCAAAGTAGTTGCAAAATATATTCATACAACTGGGAGCTGAGTAAGAAAACTTTAAACCTGAACTTAACTCAACAAATAAGCTGTAAAATGCTATCAGACAGCGCTGTGCAGCTCTTAAAAACTTTACGAACTCACCCCCATCTTAGCTTTCAAGATCTTAAAGTAGTGAAGCAAAATCTATTAGAAGGAATTAAGATTTCATTGATTGGATCGTTTGTTGGAGTAATTAACAGATTGAGATTGAATTTAGGGTGTTTTGAAGTCAGTTTGAATGGATTAATGTACTAGACTAACAAGTTAAATACAAGATTAAAGTAAAACCTACACTATAGTTTTTTACCTATTTCTTAAGTATCCTTCTTTTCCTGAATTCCATTAAGAATACTCAATTTCTAATATCTAAGTTGTTGTAAAACGTATGGTCTGTTGCCAGGAAAAATCGGCCTAGGAGTGTGGCTATGTTTCCTCAATGAAGTCCTCAAAAATCTTTTACTCGCCAAACTACCCAGTAAGATGTGGTAACAGTTCACTCAATAATTCTTTAGGTTACATAATGTTATTTAATTGAATGGTATATTTAGTGCCTCAGATGGGCACAACTATTTTAGAAAAAAGGAACATTATATCTTTCGTGATCTTTTGGGGAACAACATGCTAAGCACTGCATTCATTCAAATGTATCTGAACTATTCAAAACCACGGCCAGATGGCGTTGGTGGTTCAGAGCTCGTCAGCCCTGCTCTTGGCTCCTCATGATAGCGTCAAATATGTAGATGAGATGCTTGTCCCGGGAGCCTGGCTCCGTGCTAAGCTGTGCAGGGGCAGGGTCACACGGGGAACATAGAATACATGGGGAGAATAGAACAATATATTTATCTCTCGCAGCGAAAGTATTGTGCCAAAAAGATGTCATTTGCAAAGTAGACTATGCAGGGGCAAGGGTCATATGGGGCAAAATGGAATATGCAGGAGCTTTACATTACATGGGGCAAAATAAACAATGCAGGGGCAACGGTCACTGGGGGCAAAATAGACAATGCAGGGCCACATGGGGAATAAAGACTATGCAGGGGCAAGAATTACATTGGGCAAAATAAAATATACAGGGACAAGGCTCACATGAGGCAAAATAGACTATGCAGGGGCAAGGGTCATATGGGGGAAAATAGAGCAGTCTCACTCTCTCTCTGTCTCTTAGCAAAAATAGATGATATTCAAACGGCTGAACAGATTTTCATGAAGAAAGATTTTGTTCAGAACATACTCAACCAAATCAGCTTCCATATTAAGAAGACTAGATCAAAATCGGTTCATCCGTTTGGGAGTTGCAATGCCACTCACAGACACATCCATATCCCATGAATAAAATGCTAGTTTAATTAATGAACACGATGAGCAAAATTTTATAATTGGTAAAAAGTGGCAGCAAAAGTTATAAAAAGTTACTTTACTCGTAGCGTTATCATATTTCCAAACGTCTAGACAGTTAAAAGTTTAACCCTTCATTGATCATACTTCAAAATTCCACAAAAATTTACTGGTGTGGATGCATCATTAGCTTTAGGGTAGGTACACACAATCAACTAATGGTTTCAGTGGTGGCTTCAATAAAACACGGTTATCGGGCCTGAAAAATAAATTTAAAAGGCTTTTGGTGCTGTAGGGAAACCGTGCAGGGTTTTTCATAAAAAATATTCAGGCACTAGGAAATTGAGTTACAGGGGATAATGCATACTGAAACTGAGGCAGGTATATACTACATGTATTGTTGTTTGGGGTTCCATGCTTTAATGCATTGTGATACCTATGTTTTCATATAGTACTAGCTTTTGACTGCGGCTTAAAATTTTATTTGTCACAGAAAAATTACGCGCTTACGTTTCAAAAACTGGGATAAAAACTAACTATCAATGTATTCAATAGGGTTGGTACCTATTTCATTTTTTCACAACTTATCCTTACTACACAAAATTTTAATATACTTTATAAGACATTCTTAGCCTTCGGTTGTAAGAGAATTTTGTCTACATGTCTTGCCAATCTTGGAATCAGACTTTACGAGTTGCTCGTCTGACATGGCTAATTCAATTGATCTAATATAGTATGTAATGCTCTTTGAAAGTAGTCCGAAGCATTTATTTACTATGTTCTTTATTTCCTTACCCAGTCCTCATAATACAGTAGGTATCCTTAGTACTCAAACGCCCGTATTCTCAAACATTACTATGAGGTCTCACAGTGCGCGTGGACGCAAAGGGTGACACACAAACCAATGACAGACCTCTATACAACGCTGTGCGTTCGATTTGCTGCTTCACATAAGCAAGCATCGTTTGTGAATACGGGCGTTAGTAAGATATCATTTTAACTTTTAACTCACCAATAATTAGTTCAAAGCAGCACCCGCATAATTCTGCAGCGGCTATACACTCTTCTAGAAGTAGCTTTATAAAAGGTTCCTTGATGACCTTCTGCACTAATCTTCGCGCGCAGTGCGCGAGCAGAGATGTTAAGAGGATGAATAGCGTCGATACCACTAGGGGGGCGAATGTCACTTTGTTTACCTGAAATAATAAAACAATATTTAGTTTAATTTAACTAAATTTATTTATTACGTTGCCTAAAGAATGCAGCTTCAGAAATGAGGCGATCTTTAAGGCTGCTGTAAGCACCATCTTACTTTAACTTAGACAAACGTCAAAAATCTGTCAAACTCCATACAAAAAACACCAGTTATCGTTTTAAACTTACGAGCAAAACCTTGTGTTTTGTTCTGAGCGATCTTAAGAACTGAATGACTATGTATGTATCTGTGGTATCAATTTAAGGTTCATGATATTACCTTTAAAATGGTACCATTTTTATTTGTCTTAACTATTAGTCATTTAGTTTTTGTGATCGATCGAAACAAATAGGGCTAAGACTCAGCCTAAGAGAACCAAAGTAAATCATCACAGTGCAGCCCGGAGAATTGCCAAACTTTAGTAGCAGTGGGTGATACATTTAACTCATAGAACTGATGTACTGACTAATTAATTAGTATAGAAGAATAAATTACATTAATTTTTAAATACCGTTAATCATACAGCCCCATTTCAGTCAAACGATGAAAGAGATGTACTTATTTAAAAAATAGATCTAAAGAAAATGTTTACATGTGACCTTAGAACAACAGATCGCAAAAAAATATAAAAGAGCTTTTCATATATTGCAAAAAAATCCTCATGCAATATTCCAAAGCAAATGTTTCTTCTATACGAATAGATCAGGTAAACCGTTTTTCATTTAGGAATGGGTAAACATGACGGGGCACTGAAATAAACTTGAATAAACACGCTCGTAACTCCTGGAATATCAGGGTATAGGTGAGTACAGTTGAAGTGGGTTTAGTAGGGCCAATGTAAAGTTATAGTTGTAGATTGTACCAACTGCAAGAGAAACTACCTACCTAACCCTATTGCATAGTGTCCACAAAGCCCTACTACTTATGCCCTTTTTCATCATCAATCCCTAATTTTTAAGTAACCAAAGAAACAAAATTCCTGTTATGTGTTACCATAGGGGTCACTTAAAAATTAGGGATTGATGGTGAAAACGGGCAATAGTCTCTCCAACTGTCTGGTCAGTGTGGGAAGAAGAGAGTCGTGCTCCATCAGGTGATCATCATCAGATGATGATGCTAACTAAGCTTAACGTCATGTCTATGGTGACCACAGCTCCTACATGTATTATTAAAAACGTCCATGACGTCCAAGTTTAGACCCCTTCTTGTACCCTGCATTGAATTAGAGAAGAATTAAAATAATTGTAACACTACATTTTGTCACTAAGAAGCGATCTCTTCCAAACAAACCTCTCTTTGAAATAAGAAGTAATTTAAATAATCACATGATTTTGTGCGCCTTTCTCTTCAAGACATGCTAAGTCTACTATCATCTATTTCTTTGTGGCCATTGCAATCTGGGGTTTCGACAGCTAAGACTTGTAAACAACGTTACATTTTTCTATGCAAATTGGCATTTATATTTGCTATGAATTTCTAAAAAGCTTTTACGAATAGAGTCGGTTTGTTTACTCTCGTCTAGAAATGTTACTAGCCTGTGATAATATTTTGAACCTTACGGTTATTATTTTTAGGGTCCAAAAATAATTAAATTATAATTTCTGTGCTGACTTACCTACATTATTCATTTTCAAAGATAGGTTTACCTCCTTACTAGAGATGAGAGAGAGATCGTACAGTCAGCAAAAAATAGTTTGTGACACCCTAAGTAGCCAAAAAGTTCGCAACACGTCTTTGTTACAATTGAAATAGGGTTGTCTTGTCACCTTTTTGGTCACACGAATTATTTGACGCTGACTGTACCTCCAGTTTTATTTGTAACAAAAATCGTCGTGGACTATACTTGTCTGACACTGGAAGTTGCAGTTCACAAGAAGTGTTTAAATTGGCAATGCACGTTTTTATTCCATACCAATAAGATTCCAGTTCGCGTCCCTATATTCCAGATTGTTCTGGAACCGGTTGTCGACTCCAGGAACGCAGTTTGTTTGAGAGACGTGACTATTATCCTTTAGAATCGGACTCTGAATATTTTAAAAGAGTTTTAATAAAAATGTTTCCGATTTAAACAGGATCGAAGTCGAGACAAAGAGGATAGGGATGGGCTGTATCGGAAAGTATCGATAACTTTAGTTTTAACTCGTTCAAAGATATTTTAATTAGTTCACAATAGACTGACAACTAGGGACATGACTGTTACATAGTTGTGTTGTGTTAGATAAAAAAAAATTAACCTCAATTTTAAAGTACACTTTTACAACTACTTAATCATAAAGATTGTAAGAGACAGAGAAATAGTTATAGATAGTGGGTTTCACTGTAATTTCGTGGTGATCTTTTTTGGATTAACATAAACATTAGACCACATTTACCTACCAAAATTTTATTATGAAGAAACAATGAGTGAAACAAAATCAACAAATACCTTTAGTTTCAGGAAAATTCTTAGTGTTCGTTTTCAGGAAAAAACAACAAACCTGAGTTCTCTGTTTATGTTTTTGCCAACCTAATTGTCAATATCGATAAAACATCAATAATCCCTCGTCTAGAATATTTTAAATGTAAAATCTTTTCGATGCTACTTGGTATTGTTGGGCAGCATTTCAAGTGACTATTTCACTTGAAGAAAATTGTCTTTGACTTGAAACTTTTGTCTTTGTAAGTGAAAAACCTTCGGGATCATAACAAGACGAGTTTCTTCCAGACTTCAAGTTATGAGTAGTAATTGTGGATAGTTATTTCTTGGATGAATACTGCAGATATTTTGGAAAAATTGAATAGATTTATTGGTGAATTTGATGCTACAACATAAGGGAAAAAAAATCCCTTCACTATCTATGTTTGGAAAAACACTAAAAAGTAGCTTAACTTTTAAATCATTGCAGTTTGATTATTACATTAAGGCTGAGTTACACCACCTTATTTTAACCGTGACAATAACTATAACCGGTGCTTATTGTATGGAGTTTGTCAGATTTTTGACGTTTGTCAAAGTTAAAGTAAGACAAGTGGTGCAACTCAGCCTAAGTCAAGTTAATTTTTTTATTACTATTATGTAACAGTTGAAAAAAAAATTTTATCATTACAATCTTATCAGATTTTCTTCAATCTGACTTCAGCAAGAAACAAGTCCTTGGAATCAAGTAAGATAAGAGATAGTGAAAGAGTGCAAAAAAGACAAATCCATGACCTTACGTAGACCGAAAATCACACTACCAAATCTGTGGCAAAATGATAGTGCCACATTATTACGTCACAGTCTTTATTACGCCGTTATAACATCAATTTACAAAAACAATGCAAAGTTTAAGGTTCCAACCACCTCGTTGACCTTAAACGCGTAATTACACAGATAGTAACTAGGTACACTGGTACATACTCGTATTTATCCGAGTCATAAACGTTTTTGCACAAAGGGCCTGTAGATTACGCCTCTAATGATAGTTAAACGGTTTTTGCGGCACCCTAAATTGTAAGTTTAAACATACTCGTATGTTACGGCAGGTCTATAGCGATTCGGCTTGGAGATAAGTGTATTGTTTATAGGTAGTACGAGTTGCTCTATTTCGCTAGGTATATTAACTTTATATTTACTTTACTTTACCAAAGGCTGGCATACATTTAGTATGGGAGCTGGAAACATTGAATTTTTTGATAGATTCCGTTAATTCTGTACCCTATTAATGATACCGATAGACAGAGCTCATTAAGCACTTTCAGGATCAGTGACCAGTTTTTCGATATCTTGTATGGTTTAGAAATGATCAAGTAAGATAATTTTATCGTTTCCACCCTGTATTTTATAATCGTGNAGCGTGCCGCGGTAGCGGCCGCCGAGCGCTAGAATCACCTCTATTGTTAATGAATCGTTTGGAAATTTCGATAAAAAGAATGAAATAAGGAAATTAATGCAGAACAAATTTTGTATTAACTACCCACTAAACAAAATAATAACCACAAGCTAATTTGTATCCATTCTATGCACCAATCAAATTATTTTGTAAATAGTTTATCGTGAAACATTTTTGCCTAATGAAACATTTGGCAAACCATACTTTGCCAAACAATAATTTGCTAAACAATAATATGCCAAAAACAACATTTGCGAATTAAAACTTTGCAATAAGTTGCTTTGCCAAATGAGAATTTGCCAAATGAAAATTTGCGAAACGTTGTTTGCGATGTGATAATTTGGGAAACGTTTTTTGGCCAAACATTAGTAATCCCCTATATTGGCTTATAGTCCATTAAATAGAGATTAACTTTCAGTATGGGACGAAAAAAAAATAAGCTGTCAGTAAAAAGTTATGACCGTTTGAAAAATTGTAGTAGTTTACGCGCTAATCTCAGGAACTACTGGTCCGATTTGAAAAATTATTTTTGTTATGGATAGCCCATTTACCAAGGATGGTTTTAGGTTATATAACATCACCCTACAACCAACAGGGGCGAAGCAGCGACCACCCAACCAAAATTCCAATATTGTTGTCTTTCTTCTGAGATTTTTTTTTTCTTTTAGCGAGAATCTAATACGGCACACTAAGCGAAATGACATAAAATGCATAGATTAATCCAAAATGTGCGATGGATATAATGATATCAAGAACATTTTTCGGATGAAAAGGTAAAAAACATGACTTTTCATTCTGTCATAACTTTTTACTGACAGCATATTTTTGATTGCGGTTTGGTTAGAATGAATCAGTATTTAGTAGACTATTTTACTACATAAGTCTCGTTAGTGGTGGACATTTGGACCACACTCCATACATTTTTGGTCATTGTCCTTTGAAACCGAAAATTATTACAAAATTAAATAATGTTATGATCACTGGGAGACCTCACTTGTTTAGTTTAGACTATACAACATTTCTGGAATAACTTCACGTCAGTAGTTGTTTGCTTGACGCGCTACGAACTAACTACACGCTACGGCGTAGCTTACATAGTGTAGATGATTTTACAAATCTCTACAGCGCGGCGTTAAGAAACGCAACCACATTTAAAATATTCGTAATGCATCCAAATACACTTACCCCCTTATTACAAAAAGTTAAACTCTAGTTTAAAAAAATTGGCCAAATACCAACCCAGAAGCCTACATACTAAATGATTTGTCTTAGACGTTCAAAAGAAACGAAATATTACATTAACATACCAAAGAACTATTCGAAAAACTTCACACCTCAAACAGATTGTTTCACAACTATAGTTTCTCATTTGGCCTTAAAATGTTTGTTTTCATTATGCAACTTGGCAAATTCTGGAATAACTTCACATCAGTAGTTGCTTGCTTGAAAAGAGATGGAGAGCCTTGGTAACTACCAAGCAGCATTCCTAGAACACAGATCCACAGAAGACCACATCTTTACGCTTTGAAGAATCCTTGATGACAAATGGAAATGTCACAAAAACGTACATTATGGCAATTGACATAGAAAAAACATTCGACACTGTAGATTTAAATGTCCTTAAAGATATTCATGTGTCCAGAACCAATAAGACCCTGACCAATAGGATCATTAAAGCTTGCATGAATGAATCCACATGCATCAAATGGTACGGGCAGCAAACCAGGTTCATCACCAAAGGAAAAGGAGTAAAACAAGGCTGCCCACTGTCACCCCGTTTATTCACCATAGTAATAGATGACTTCTTTCAAACACTCCAAGAAGAAACATCGATACTCCGGCTAAATCAAGATTCGTATAATATTAAGCTTCCCATTTGCCCAAAAATCCACGACACAAAAACAAAAATCCTTCCCCTGAATTTCAGATAAAGACGGCCTCGTGAAGTATCCACGAATATAGCCAAGAGTCGAAACTTATTAAAGGTACCTAATTAACGACAATCAAAATGTCTTTGTTTATTCCCTACGATATTTTGACAATAGAAACAATATTTATTCCAGATAATTATACTGTATTGTCTAGTAGTGTGTAGTCGACCGACGTAGTATGTAGGCTTCTGGGTTTGTATTTTTATTTTCTGTAAAGTTATAATGTAACAAATGTATATGGCTTTTCACGCGGACAGTGTACGCGCAACATCTGTGTTTGTTTCCTCCGTAGTAAATAAATCATATCGTCTTCAAAAGTGATAGTTGTGAACTGTTTCTGCGGTGTATCGAAAGCCGGAGATTGCGACAAGCGAATAATCTATAATACACAACACGGTAACTCTTAATTATAAGTAAATCAGTGAATTAAATCAAGAACTAATTATTGTCAATATAAAGATACCGTCAATAACGGTGCGAAAATAGTGAATACGCATTGCGGAGCGAAACGCGTAAGCGACGCGCATCGCCTGGCGCTTACGACCTTCTTCTCGCGGACCGCGTCGACTTCTAGCGGAGCAATTATTACAGTGCGCCTATCGCCGTACTCTGCGGAGAACATTATTTACGGGGTATTGTGTGGAGGATAGAAATTGTTTTTGCCAACACGATGAACTGCGAATGCTGTTTGGAGTTTATTTTGGAGGAGGGCGCTGCTGTGAAATGCTCGCAATGCAAAAAATCTTACCATCACTCCTGCTTTAGCACTGTTTTGGCTGGTGTGCAACAGCAAATTGATGAGCGAAATTGGTTGTGCCCGACCTGTAAACCGAGGACAAGCAATGCAGACCATACACCAATACGAAACAGGCAGGCACATGATACAAATATAACGCATAGGAAAAAGGGCGCACAGGCCGGCGTTGTCAGGGCGGATGAGGCTCCAGTGACGTCAAGTGAAGTCTCCAGCATCATCAAAAGGGAAATTAGCGATTTGATGCGGCATCTCAACGAAACTCTGGCTAACTACGTTAACAAAGAACTAAAAGTGATTAAGGAGAACATAGATGAAGTCAAGAAATCTATGGAATTTATGAACGAGAAGTACGAGGAAATGAAGTCTGAGGTTACTAGTAAAATCAATATTATTCACGAAGTCCAAAAGGAGAATGAACAACTCAGGGCTACTGTGAAGGACTTGAATTTGAGGCTTAACCAGGTAGAGCAACAGGCGCGCTCATCGAACTTGGAAATACAATGCCTTCCAGAGCACAAGAATGAAAATCTTGTTTCCACCATCATGAATATCAGCAGGGTCATATCTTGTGAGCTGTCTGAAAATAATATACACCATGTAACAAGAACTGCAAAGCAATCACCTACCAGTAGCCGNTTCGTATTAGTTTTGCTTCTATTACGATAAAATTCATTTTGTATGTAGCTAAATAGATATTTTATCATCTGATTTCAAAGTTATTGTCCTAACTTATACAGTTTATGAACTATTATTGTGTGACCATCACATTTGAGTGTAAATGAGAAGTACCCTTACACGTTATCACGATTTTGAGTACAAGTTTTGTAATTCCAATTATCGTAACGCACACTTGTACCTAATCTACTTTGCCAGTCTTTTGCTTTCATTTATTGTTAGTCAAACATAACTACGCTATTATAACTTCAAAATATGATTTACTAAAAAAAAATTCAAAATCCTTTGGTAAAATTCCATACAACTTGATGTGGTACAATTTAGCCGACTAGGTGATAGTGCTTTTAAAAAATCGGTAAAAAATATAGCTTATACCGAAAAATGTTTCAAATAATTGTAATCCAGACTAATTTACGCTTCTAAATAATATATTAGAAACACCATGTGATTAAATTTAACAAAATTACAAACTTAACATGTATTGTCAAAAGTTACTTGAAAACAATGAAAAAATACTTTGCAAAATAAAACACACGTGTTTGTTGTCACGGCAAAAACCACATGGCCGATATTAATTGACTTTAGTTGTGTATCGCTAAGTGTTGCAATTACAGACATTCAATAAATACTTTACGAAATATGAGGGTGGTACAATTTACCCGGCGGTACAATATACCGAACTCTCCCCTATATTGAATCTTCTAAGATATATGTATATTTCATCGATTTAGGGAAAGAGGTCTAATTGGAACTGGTCTAAGAATAAGAATCTCTATATGTACTGAATTTCAGGGCACAATTCCTTAGAATGGGATGTCAACGTCCTATGATCAATACTTAATTACTTATACATGTTTCTTGGAAGGAATAATATTATAAGAAGGAATATTATTTAGCGGTTGAGAAGTCGGCTATTAATACGACGACAAGAGACCTGACGGCATGACGCTCATTCCCTGGAAGCAGGGACATCCTCTTGTGTGGGACGCAACATGCGCGGATACGCTTGCTCCGTCTCATACAGGAGGTACCTCCCTTGCTGCAGGCGCGGCGGCGGCCTCGGCTGAGTGCTCCAAGCGGCGCAAATATGCAGCTCTCAATGAGAGTTATATATATGTGCTGTTTGGGGTTGAGACTATGGGACCATGGGGTCCAAGCGCTCGTTCCTTTTATAAGGAACTGGCAAAGAGGTTCACCGAGGTGACCGGTGATCAAAAGGCTGGCAGCTCTTTTGGTCAGAGAATTAGCCTGGCCATTTAACGTGGCAATGCTGCCAGCCTTTTGGGCACCATTCCTGACTGCGGCGCTGGGGGTGAAGTATTTTTTATTTTGTAAATAGTTTTTATAATTATTAATTTTTAAATTTTAGTTTTTAAGTCATTTTAAGTTAATGTATTATTATAAAATTTATTCTCGCTATTAATTATATTAATATTATGCTGGATGTCACTTTGGTCTCCACACAGTACTCGACTTTGTGTAATTAATGATACAATCTGTTTGTAATAATTTCTTCCTCTACTTGTCGTGTCGTCAACTCTAACATAGTCATCATCATCATTTCAGCCATAGGACGTCCACTGCTGAACATAGGCCTCCCCTAATACTTTCCACGTTGATCGATTGGTAGCGGCCTGCGTCCAGCGCTTCCCTGCTACCTTTACCACCACCACTCTAACACAGTGTCAGCCCAAAACTCTGCTACAAGAGTGGCGTTTATACATAAGTAATAATTTAGATGTTTTCTAGTTGGAATAAATATTTTTCATAAAAAATACATACAAACACATTTTGATGAAAAATAGCAATACATAAAGTTAATGTTAGTTAATCAATACATAACACACAGTATTTAGCTAATGTGCTGTTCGTACATAGACACGCTCTGTAACATATAAACTTTTTTATTAAACTCTGTATACACTCTACATAGATCTACGAGTAATGTCAAAAGTGAATAGTGAAGCGCACACGCCACCTCTTTGATCCAGTGCCGATAGCGGGTCCTCCATCGCTTCACAAATTCAGTTTCAGTCTAGGACGATGTTTACTCGGCAGTTGAACGGTTGACGAAACACAAATTTTGTAAACACACGGCCGCGTGTTGCGGACTGAACCGCTAAAAAAATTGTTTTAAAGAAAACTGAACATTGAATCATTATCATTGTCAGTAATGATTCTTAACACGAAAATGCGCCAACATTTCCTTTCAATTACTTACTTGAAAGAAAATAAGTTACTTGCCAAGTAAAACCCCAATACAATGAATTAGTAACAAAATCTAACTTAAATATTTTCATCTCTATATTGTTTTGTGTTTGTTGAAAAATTACAGCAAATAATACCTATACCTACGTCTTGCGTGAACAGAGATGCTCTATTAAAGTATTCGTATAATATCTAATTCGCTAACTTTGTACAAATGAACAAACTCTTATCGTGATACATAATATTGGAGCGAACTAAACCCACCCACGTTGCATTCAGGATGTTTAAAAATCCAATCTCCCAGACTGAAATAGCGCAGCGTATCAACAGCGCATCGACATTGAAATCTATGACGTCACGGATGCATTCACTGACTGATTAATATTTTGGATTGGATTACGAAAACATTATCCAACTGTGAATAGAAATGTAGAGTGTTCTTGGCAGTGAATCACAAGCTCGGGCCTGATGCATAGTATTGACTGGTTTTTAGTAGTTAATAGATTTAATGATTTAGTACGTTACGTTTGTTGCTAATTGCTAATCTGCTCTTGAATGTAGATCGTATATTCTTTAAAATACATTTTTTTTTTTTTTTTTTAAAGATTATTACCAATTTGTATTGCCCAAATTACTAATAGTCCCATTAGCCCCTCGTGGTAAGCTAAATAAGCTTGTGTTACGAGTGGGCTCAATACAATAGTCGAGCGGCGGTGGGATACATATACATACATGTATTCTTTTAGTGGCTGTGTAATGATGGTTACATCTGTGATTGTTACCTGACAGGTACTTACACCGATTACTCTATTGATCTGTCTAAGAACAAATATTTATTACATTAATAAAATAAACATACATAAATACACTAATTTTAAATGACAACTCACAGGACTAGGTTTAATACAAAATTCACAGATGGGTTTCACAGATTTAAGATCCCGCTCCGAACTATCTGCCGTATATTTCACTGCACTGGTTTCACAGCGCTCTTTACTTAGCCAAAGGCAGGTATCTCTGCATCTCATGATTGAAATCCGTCAAATGGACCCCTTTGCCTAGGTGAGTGGTGCCCGTTTTTAGCTGATAGTATGCCCGGGAACAGGACGCTGTTTTGGGAAAACTTTTGCTGCTTTGCTTTTGTTGTTATGTAGTTTTATCAAATAGCTGGAGCGGAGATCATGTATCGTGATCTTTCCTTTTTGGATGTGTTAGCAGTTAGTAGTAGTAGTTAGTTAGTGACGAGTAGTTGCAAACTGTCTGAACTAGGATTACAATTTTGGTCAAATATATTTTTTTAATTCGTTATGTAAAGGCCCTCGCCCACGGTGACTTTTTTCGCGCGTTTCGTAAATGAGCGAGAGTATCGCTACTAACGCGCGTTAGTCGCATTTGCAACGCACTACAGAAGTGATGCCAACGCGCTACTAACGCGCAGCATACAGCAGCGCGACTGCATCGCTACAAAAAGTCGCTGTGGGCGAGGGCCCTAAACGCGTTTTTCCCTTGAAAGCGATTATGGAATTCAATCCGCATGTCAATTTGAAGTAGCCATTAAGTGGGTGTAATTGTATACAGTAGTTTAGAGTTAAGCCTTGGCATGACTAATGAGGATATTGTTATGAATTTCCGAATTCAAATTCTTTCAAATTCAAATTCAAAACCAATACAAATGAATTACCATTTTCAAAGGCCATGGAACGAGTGTATCGAATCCGTTGACGTTTCAAACACATCGCTTTGATAGATGAACTAAATTAAGGCCGGCTCTACAGGTTGGCCCTAATGTTGGTTCCAACGCCACTCGTCCAAAGTGTGTACTAGAAAATAGCCTGTCTCTACGTTCGTGACAATATTGTTTTCTAGATCCTCACGTTGGACGTAGCATTCATGAGAATGAGACCAACATTGGGGCCAACGTTTGCAGCAAACATCGCGAAATTCATTCAGCCATTGAAAGCATTCGCAAACATTCAGCACATACATCAAATTGATGGGTTTACACGCTATTACTCCTAACCTTGTACTGTAGATGTGGAGCCAAAAATAAAATTGCAGAACTACATTTTAAAATACTAGTTATATTTATAAACAGTACCAGCAAATAATACCTATACCATTTACCGGATTTTAGCCTGAAAATTTCACGGGTTTTTACTATTAATTTAATTTGCTACGATTCGGCGAATATCACCTACAAAATTGATTGAAATGTAAGGACTAAATTAGATACCTACTCAGACTCGAAGAAGTTGTAGGTAAAAACAGATTTGAAATCTATCCTTACTTACTTATCTTACATAACAATTACTTTGATGGCATTTAATTGAGTCTCTACTATTTGTTACTACTCGTAGCTATTGGGTTTTTAAAGTTTACTATAGCAACTCAGTAGCTTCTCATAAAAGTAGCTAATAACGAATAATACTCGTTATTACTCAAAAATATTAAGTCACTTCTGCTTAAGCCAAAATCTCGTGATAAACAATCCAGTTCGCAACTGGCAACACTTTCGCCGCAAGCATTCGTTAGTGCTGCAAAGTGCAGCATTCGTTTCGGATTTAAGTTCGCCACTGCATCAGGACTGATCCGTTCTTAATGCTTTTCAACAGGGTTGCCAGTGTTGCAATTTGGAAAACCATTAAATTTTAGGTCACTGGCTATCCCATTCGGATATCTGATTAAAGATATTGCGGTTTCAAGACAGTAAGGTGAAACCTGAAACTATTCAACCTTCACTGGTTGGGTTTCCTTTGGATCTAGATCTTAGCTATACAGGGTTATTGTGGTGGAAAAAAGAGGTGGAAATTAGTCCCGTATCTCGCTCGAGCTTTTCACTAGATGTCGTTAAAGCGTCGCAACGGCATTCCATTTAACTTAAAACCTCCTTTTGTATTTTGAGAAGCCTTTTAACACTAAATCCTTTTTTGTTTTTGTAAACTATTTAGAGCTAGTTAAACTACAGTTTTTCCAATGAATTGAGCTTCAAATAGGATTCATGTTTTTAGAGCATCCTTAGGTCCACGTAATAAATGAATGAAAGAAAGAAAAGTATTTATTACAAACAAAACAACAACTTCTGACTAAACAACAGACATCAATGGCATCTGCTCAGTATAGATGACCCACGCTGAACTGTCCCGCCAAACTCAATGACAGAGGGGCGCTACCATCGTTCAACTATATGGTTTCCAACATGGCAAAAATCGGAACCAGCGATCCGGTATTGACGGTGGCGCCCCACTGTCAATGTCATCGATAGGACAGTCCAGTATTTTGGAACTATAATAAGCCGTGACTGCAGGGAGTAGTTGCAGCCCAAGGTCCTACTAGTGGTACTACTGGTAGGACCGTGGGCATTACGAGGTTAAATATTTTTATTTCCTTGTAATATTTATGTGCTTTATGTCTTTTTTCCGTATACTTTCTTTGTTCTTAAAGTGATGTTCATCGTAATAAATATTTCTTTCTTTCTTTCTAATATTATTATGTTGTCTCGTACTCAAAGTAAAACTTTAACGTCCGTATTCACAAACATTATATTATGAGGTCTCACAGTGCGCGTGGACGCACAGGGTCACACACGAACCAATCACAGAGCTCTATTCAACGCTGTGCGTTCACTTAAGCAAGCAAAGTTTGTGAATACGGGTGTGTCAAATTATTTATTTACGACCAATGTGTTTCCTTGTACTCATGTTCAGCCCTGCATGCAAGAAAACTTGTCAAGTTGCAAGCGCACGCCTCGACCGACTAATGACTTTGGAACTTAAACTTCGACCGGCTCACATGACACCAGTTTGGTATTGAAACAACTGGATAAGTGGCTAAAGCGCTGTGGATTTACTACAGGAATTTACAGGACTGGTACATTAGATCGAGCTTATGAGGTAGCTATAATTTGTAACGTTGGTTCAGTAGGCTTACCATGAGTTTACGTTAGGTGAGCTCGCTAGCGACTGCGTAAAAAAATTACATTAATTGTATGACATATTGTGCAGCGCCCCTAGCGGCTACTTTCAAGAAACAAAATCTTCATAGAGATTTTTGACGTACTCGCTAGCGAGCGTACCTAACGTAAACTCATGGTAGGTACATTGTGTTTCAGTCTTCAGGACCAGGATTCTGGAAATGAGACGTTTGGCATCCAAATTGGAAGCTATTATGTGACTAAAGCGCTGTGGACTTACTACAGGACTGATAAAATCGATATAGAGTATAATTTGACTATAATTTGTAATGTTGCTTCAGTTGTGCTTCAGTTCTTCAGGACAAGGATTTTGGAAAAGAGACTTTTGCATCCCAGACGTGCGTCAAGCTAGGTACCTACTACTCGTACTCGTATACTTACTAATTTATAAAGCTGAAGAGTTTTTTGTTTGACCGCGCTAATCTCAGGAACTACTTGCTGGTCCGATTTGAAAAATTATTTCAGTGTCAGATCGTCCATTTGTCAATGAAGGCTATTCCTCGCGGACGAATTCGCGGGCAGAAGTTTTACGAAATAAAGGGACATTGCGTAACTGTTTTTAGGGTTCCGTAGTCTTTCGATATGTCTGTCTGTCTGTCGAGGTGTTGCTTGGAATCTATTGGCACTAGGAAGCTGTAATTTTGTGGAAGTATGTATATTNCAGTGTACCGTATAGATGCCCCCATTAAAAGGAATGTAGCTAGTTTAGAAGGACCCTGTATTATAGGCTATTTTTCACGTAGGTAGCAGTTAATTAAAGTACACGAGATGTACCTACTAAGTACTTATGTCGTTAACGCAGACTCTTAGAAAATTGAATTCTTCGAAGTTTCACCCATTATCGTGAGAGTGCGGATTACTTTGAGGGTGTTTCATTTCACCATTAAAAATAACTTTGGTGCAAGCGATCTCTTAGGGAAAATTAGTTTGATTATGAATTATTATAATGTGGGCAGGGTTACTAGGGAAGCACTACAAAGGATGAAGTTAGTCCTTAACTCGTTACGGAGAGGCAAAATTGCAAGTGAAACTTTTGACAGTGTGTTGAACGGTTACTGACTGGGACCGTACGGGGAAATAGTAAGGTTTTAATTAATCGTTCGTTCATTTAAACGAAATTCATTGAACCAGAAAAGTCTCGCCTCTGTTCAAAATTATGGTTTTGGCTGAATAAGCAGTCGATATTGCCGCTTTGAAAAAATGCGGGGGATTCGATGAAATTCTAAAAATAACTTTTATCAATATCAATACAAAAAGGTTCATTGCTTGATGAACTAAATCATAAAAGCTGTGAACCATTGCCGGCATAATTTCCTTGATGAATAAGGCAAAGAGCACAATTTATTTCAAACAAAATAGGCAGAGAAATATTTATTAATCCTAAAGCTGAGGTAATGAAAGAAAATTTATTCCTCATTCAAATACAGAATAACTGAATTCCTTTTAATTTAGCTTCAGTAGGTGCTTGCCTAAAGTGTCTTAACGACTGATTTCGTAAAAAATATTCATAACTTTTTGAGGGATTTTATCAAAAGGAAACGAAACCAAATTTTACCGAAAATAGGTACACGAGCCACTTGGAGCCACTTTTGATTCCCTCATATTAGAAGTAGAATAATTATATAGGAATAATAAATAAATAATCATTTAAACTTACATATTTTTCTGCAGGTTGAGGAACGTGATAGAGTCCCCGTATCCAGTGAATGCGTCTTCGCTGATGTAGGTAATGTTATTGGAGCGAAGATCCAAGTGACGTAGGCGATGCAGCGGACGAAGCGCCTCCGAGGGGATTTCGTGCAGCCGATTGTCTCCGAGACGGAGATATTGAAGGTTTTCTAAAAAAATGCAATCGAAAACATAGAAAGAAAGAAACATTTATTGCAACGGACATCACAAAAGACAAAAATGTTTTGGAAATTGTTGTATATACCTGTAATTGGCAAACATATTTAAACTAAAACCTTAATATGTGTTGTATGCTGTGAATGTCTTAAATGTGTTTTGCTGTTGGTGTACCTTTATCAATAAATAAATAAAAGAGGTAAATAAAAAAACCCTAAAAAGACAGAGGTAACACATAAAATAAACAATGGAAGAGAAAGTAAACTGAGCAGTGGCATCCTGTCGCACAGCGATGCCCATCGCAATGGGACCCCACTCAGCATATGCCGTGGCCCACGGTGAGGAAGGCCACGACCCTGGTTTTCAGTGTGCCCCATGCTGAGTGCCACATAGAACCTCTTCCTTTTTTGAAGTCGGTTAAAACTCTCACACAACAGATAAAAGCTGAATTCATTCTTTTTTCAGAATGCCACGTAGGCTGGCCAGCCCACCGTTAGAATTTTAATTAGAAAACCCGTTTTGAATTTTAACTAGCTGAAAGCTAGAATGACTTCGCACAATTTTGAATACCTGTACAAAGTTTAGAATGTTTTGTATTCACGGTATGTTAGGTATTCGTTATGTTAGTGATTACATTATAACATTATGCATTTCTAATTACAGTTCCGTGAATATTTTAACTAGAATGAAAACAGTTCTCATATTTTAATCAATGTTTCCACAAAACGCAACGGTTAGGTACAACTAAAATTGTTGTATTGTTATTTACACAACCTTTAATAACAAATCACAGCAGAATAGTTTACATTACGGGAAAACAAAGACAAAGGCTGTATTTATAGTCGATTTGAAATATCGCATCTAAATATTGTTGGTAAAACCGAATCGTTTTCTCAGATATCAAAGATGCGAAGGCAGAATACATTACCTTCCAGTCCTGAAAAAGCTTTCTCATCGATCCTCTGAATTAGGTTTCCTTCGAGTTCCAAAGAGTTCAGAAATGTCAGATGGGAGAACACTTGAGCCGGCACTTCACGCAACTGGTTGTGTGCTAACCCCAGAGAATCTAGGTTACGCAAACCTGGAACAAATTTGCATTAATTATGAATTCCGTTCAGGTTTTATTTGAGAGTTGAAGTTGCTAATTTTGACGAGGATTTAATGAAATGCGACGGCACTTTAATGTTATGTCGGCGAAGTAATTTCGGGACACGTTTCAATTTGCTTTGGAAGTTATTCGGATAGTTACAAGTGTTTACTTAGGGAAGACGTTGAATTTTATACTTACACTAGCTGACCCGGCGAACTTTGTTCCGCCCTAATGGCAATAAATAAGCAGACTTTTTTTTTAATTTCGAACGGGATACAAAGTATCCTATGTCCTTCTCCTGGCTCTAAACTACCTCCCTGGCAATTTTCAGCTAAATCGGTTCAGCCGTTCTTGAGTTATAAGCGAAGTAACTAACACGACTTTCTTTTATATATATAGATAATCACGAACACTTTAACAGAGATTTAGATATTTGTTTGTACTTAAAAGTTGTCGATTTTTTAAAGCTCAGCTGCTTAATTAATAACATTAGGTTTCTGGGTATTATTTAAAGCAGTGTCTGCAAATATATCCTCTTTCTGGAGAAAAACATACTAATCAAAACATAGCGAATAAGAATTGTATATAAATGCTTGGCTTTCATTTCCTGGAAAAAATATACCTACGAAAGATGTCGACTTTGGAGTAACTAGAGGTTAGTGGTCTGAATTTGAAATTTCAGTAGTTGTCGATCGATACACGTGTATACATACGGTACACTATACGGTATTTGGTACAAAATATAAAAACCGAATAAAATATCTCAACTCAATACAAAAAATCAAGTTTACGATATTATTTCAGTAGGTATCCCAATAGACGGTATCTTTAGAGAAGTATACAGGATGTTTGGCGGAAGGTTAGACAAACTTCGTGGGTGTACACTTGTACAGGTAAGGTCATTTTAAGAATAAAAGTTCGCCCATTTGACTCTAAGTGCCCTACTTTTCAACCGACTTCAAAAAAAGGAGGAGGTTCTCAATTCGACCCGTATGTTTTTTTAATTAATATTTTTGTTTTTATTTTTTCAAAATTCTCACGAAGCTCACTTAGGGTAAAATGGGCGAAAATTGTATTTTTAAAATGACCTTACCTATACACCCAAGAAGTTTTTCTTCCGCCAAACACCCTGTATAATAAAAGTAATAATATAATTTATTCCTAAATCATACCGGCGAAGTCTCCTTCCGTAATGGTAGCGATACGGTTCTCCTGCATCTCCAGTTTCTTGAGGTTCTCGAGCAAGGCGAGCGCTTTTTGCGGCACCGCCGTCAGGTCGTTACCACCAAGATTCAGTCGCTTCAGCTTCCTAGGAACAAGATAAACGGTTTAGCGCCATTGCAATGCATTTGAAAGTTTTTGTGTTTCAGCTTTCGTTTTAAAGGACTTGAGAATTCTTTGACAAAAACGAGTACCTCCTTAGGTAACATTTAAATAGGTTTTTAGAACTTAAGTAATCAAAACATTTTAGATTTTCCATATTTTGATATTCTGCCTAAATACTCGTAGTACTCGTAACATCAATCACAGACAAAATAAAATGTAGGTATATTTCTAGTTGGAAAGATAAATTGTATTAATACTGAGAGTACCTTTAGGTATAGATACTCTTAGCAATCACAGACCTCTTCATTGCGAATTTGATTTAACAACATCAAAAAGCATCTTGTATATTTCCTACGTGAGTTTTCTTGACAATTTTCCCCAAGTATCGGCATGTCGGTGAGCAACGTCCAAACTCCGCGATCTCATTTCTGCCGCCATAAAACTTTGAGCAAATTGTACATTTTGCGACGCAATTTGAAGAGCTCGTGCAGACAGATCCGGCTGATTTGACTTGTAATTTATTCCTCCTAGTTGCCAGTACCTCTGACAATATTTTTGATTAAGATACTTAATACGTTTACAAGTAAATAAATGTATGAAGTTAATTGGAATTCCTTATAATATAAATCAATAAGACTGTAGAAATACGGTAAGTACCTAAAAGATCAAGATGTTATTCAAATACAATAGACTTGACAATAAAAAAATCGATTACAGTTTTTTTTTCGAAGAATAGTCTTGTTTACAGGGGTTAACAGGGGGGACTATGAAACCGTAACACAAATTTTTAGCTAACCACGAGGGCATGGTTAGCTAAAAATTTGTGTTACGCTTTCACCACAATAGTCCAGCGGTGCCGAGCGGTTCAAACCAGCGTTCATTGGATCTGACCCGACATCTTTGGGTTATTGTCGCTTCTAACAACAAGCTACAACAGTAAAAAATGCTTAACGTCCAACTAAACTATGAACTTATTTATTTAGTGTCTCATTCCACGCAAGTATGTTTATTTTGTAAGGGCTGTAGGCATTCCCTTTCATTGGTTTTGTCGTATAATTTGATGTTGACCAGTTAAGTGTGACACGCTTTGCTTTAAAACCGTTAGGGACACCCGGCTCCATACATGCTGGTGTTAAACAGTCGTTTGTTGAGACTGTAACGTACTCGATCGTAGTATTTCACGTTTCATTGGACAGCGTGTGGCTTTACAGCAAACATTTTGTTTTCGAGTCGATAATGTTTAGAGACCACTTCGAAACGAACAGTTTTTGTCATTCCATTTTACTGTGTGCTTATCCTGAATTACATATAAAACTCCTCTAATATCTCAAGTTAATGTGCTACGCTTTGCGATTTTTTGTAGTAGGTACCATTATTGTTGTTTCGAGATTTTTTATCTTTCAATAAAATGTAATGGGCACTTTACGTGGCAAGTGCGTGTATTTTTGTGTATAGATACTGTGCCTGTGTAGGCCGTAAACGATTATGATATGATGTTTTTTGGAAAACAAAATATTTTCATAGTTTTAAATCGTCAGTATTTTTGTGAATTTTAAAATCAATAAATTTTACGCGTAGTATGAAGTTATCGGGAGACCATTAGAAACAGACAATAAATATGTAGTTTGCAAGCAAAATCTTAGTTATTTTAATTTGTTTCTTATAGGTACGTATCCGATTATAAATTGCATAAAAAGTCCCTAAGAGTAACGTCAAACTTGGGTATTTTTAAGCAAAGTTGGTGAAATTGCAATAATACAGCTCTTAAAACGTAACCAACTTAACTAACAGCTTCAGTAGAGTAATACAAGAAAATACCCAACATAAAATGCATTTACGCGGTCTTGAAAGGTATTCCAGAAGGTACTTACTTCTCGAGCCCCTTGAAAGCCTCGCCGTCGACGACAGATATCCTGTTCTCGTACAGAGTCAGGATCTCCAGCGTGTCTAGCCCCATAAAGGCGCGGTTGTGCACCGCGGTTACCTTTGAACAAACAAACATATTGTAGGTATGTACTTTTATATAATAGGTACATACCTAGTTTATAGGTACTTGTATTTATTGAAAGGTTTTGTTGTGTTGTGCACTTGGTCTTGTACTTATTATTGGAAAGTTAGGCTGAGTTGCACCAGCTAACTTTGACCGTAATTATGACGATAACCGGTGTTTTTTTGTAAGGAGTTTGACAGCTTATTGACATTTTGTCAAAGTTAAAGTAAGATGGTGCAACCCAGCCTTAAATGAGTGTAGGAGAAATGTTTTGTGAGGACGATACGATTACTTTATTGTCGGTTTTAGGAAATGAAGCTCAAATGTTTAGTTAAACTCAGCGTAGATTACAAACATTCTTGAGTCGATATTCAAGCATATGAACACATCATTATGCTTGGACATCCTTTCAAGATTGTGACCTTAGAGACTTCATCCTTTTATCCTCTTTTTATCATCCCGTATCATAAGCTCAATAAATTCAATAGACTAACTTTTGTTACTTAGCTTTTGAGAGTTTTCTGAAAAATTTTAGTTTTGTTGGGTTTAAGTTGGGTTGCACCATCTTACTTCAACTTTGACAAACGTCAAAAATCTGTCAAACTCCATACAAAATCGCTGGTTATAGTTATAGTTACGGTCAAAGCTAAGGCTGGGTTGCTGCACCATCCTAATTTAACTGAGACAAACGTCAAAAATCTGTCAATCTCCATACAAAAAACGCCGGTTATAGTTATAGTTACGGTCAAAGTTAGGTGGTGCAACTCAGCCTAAGCTGTAACTAACTAACCAACTGACAGGCAGATTAATTGAATACAGAACGGGTAGGTTTGAGGACTTTGAGGTTAAATATTTGATGCCATTTTGCTACTCCAACTCTAGCTGAAATGGTTGAAGTTTGTTAGCGATAAATTATTTTGTGAAAATAAGAGAATATCGTATTGGATCTTTAGAATAGTTCACAGTCCCAGGATATTGCTTTCGGTGATAATAGTAAATGTGATAATTTGTAAAAGCGCTTATCAATATTAACTTTCATTTATTTTCATAATCTAATGGTCTGCTACGAATTTATGTTTCTGATAATTCACTAAAATCACATGAATTTTTAAAAGCAAAAGGTATTAAACTGGGTTCAGTTTTTTTCAGGTGAGATGCAGGCCAAAAGCTTCTCCGTTGTAGGTAAAGAAATGTTTGTATTGCAATGGCTGCCTTCGTTTCATCACAAAAACTTTGATCATCTTCTTTTCAGCCACAGGACGTCCACTGCTGAACATAGGCCTCAATGCCTGCAATGATTTCTATTTTGACCGGTTGGTAACGGCAAAAAAACTTTATGCAAGTTAAATCACTCAGTAAATAATTACCGAAGTGTGAGGCATCGTGTTCAGGGATTCTCTTACACGCAATTATGGGAGTCATTAAAGCGAGTTAAATGAACACGGCGGGCTTAATGACTGAAGTCTTAAGTCAAGGTTTTAGGGACTATTAATAACAAAGATTAACATGCTACGGCGTTAACGCAACTTTTCTGTTGAAAAATATTTACATAATAGGTAATTCTGCTATCAGTGACGTGGATTTTGATGACTATTTTAATGGAAGACTTCTGTGACACGGTAGTTGTATTATGTTTGAGTGTAGTAACTAGTAATGTAATAAAATTAAAGCCATGATAGCCGAACGGTGAAGGGGTCGGACATCCTCTAAAGAGAGTTTTCCATTTTTCTGGCCATTTAATACCAAAAAGGGTTCCAGATGAAAGTCTTATGCCCATTTTCACCATCAATCCCCTAATTTTTAAGTGACCCCTATGGTAACACATAACAGGAATTTTGTTTTCATAGGTGTCACTTAAAAATTAGGCATTGATGGTGAAAACGGGCATTAAACTCTTGCATTCGAAATATCTACTCGTACGAGTATGACTCAATATAAAAGTGGTATAGATGCATTGTTCAGTCAAATATAAGAGTAAAAAAAACATACCTTGTTGTGGTTCATGTTCAAGATGAGCAAGTGGTTGAGATGCGTGAACGACGAGGTCGGGATCGTAGCCAGGCTGTTCTGGGACACGTCCAGTTGCGTCAGCTTGTTTCCTGTGGGAATAACGATTTGGTTAACAATTTTGATGATTTTCCATCTAAATTCTTTTGGAATAGTTCTATAAGACGAAAGCTTAATTTGTTCTGCAAAATTCCCGTCAACTCTCAAAGTTTATGTCCCTTAAGAACCACCTAAATCTTATTCAAAATTTTGAAATGCTTGATTTGGCATTGCTATAACTACGATCTGTATCAATGTTGTAACAGTACACTTTAAAATACGAGTTTAACATTTTTGTTTCAAAATTGCGCCTATTACAACTGTTTGAAATTATCTCAATATGTCGTTGCCTCTTCTTACAGTCAAAAATAAATTTTAATCACCAACTGCATGTCCTAATCAAATAACTTTCCTAGACCTACAGCGACATCTGACCCTTGTCATTAATCACAGTTAGACGGTGCAGTTTAATCAACACTAAACTATAGAGTAAACAATCTCGGAACACGAGCCCGATTAGATTATACAGGCGAGCTAACGGATTCCTGCATTATTAACCAATCAGCTGGAGTCAATTAAGCTTAGAATAGCGCAGCTTTCAGCTATCACATGCATATTGGATCAACGAATAAATTATTTGAAAACCATTGGAATTCGGACTCTTAAAGTGACTGGTTCATTTAATGAACCTACTTTCGATACAGCCTCCCACTGAAAATTAAATTTACATTTTAAAGAGCAGTTCTTTCTTCTGTTTTCATAATTAAGTCGTAATTAATACTGTTTATTTATAATTACTTTCATGTTACTTTTGTAAAAATCCAGATGTCGAATGAGTTGTTTTTTAATGTTCCCTAATAAACGCTAATTTCATAGTTAAGTACCGAATAGCAATATATCAAATACGCTAAGTACGAGAAGGTACGTGTAAAAACTCTATAATGAATACTACCTATACCTTTTTGTTTTAACTTTCAGATAAATATACAGTAAACTGGTGATTCAAACGCGCTATTTTTGACACATTTGGATTATCCCGGTTGTTTTTCTATGCCAAAAGCCGTTGTTATGTTTTGTCGCTTTCAGAATGCTGACATCAAAGCTATTTGCAGATTAACAGGCTTTGCCCGTCGTCCTGCTGAAATTGAGGAATGTTACAGCGTTTCATCACTGTCACGGCAGAGCAAACGGCATCACTCCGTTATTTTACTGGATATTTCTCTATGTTAGTGACAAAAACCTGCTATCCTTTTTATGTGAGTGACATTATTCTGTCTGAGTGACTTCATCCATAAATATAGCTTTTGTAAATTATGTACGTACACGCAAGTTAATGTTATTATTTATCGCCAGTAGTCTACTGGTGATCTCACATTCGTTTTAATTTAACTAATAGTAAAACTATGGCAAAATAAATGGCTGACTAAAGATCTATTTGCCACTTCTCCTATACATATAAATATGGTCCCTAAATGAGGCTTAATACATAGAAAGAGATAAGAAAACAAAACTTTGTACCTGCCTGTTACATTTTTTTTAATTTACAACTAGGTATAACCAAAAACGATGAAAAAAATGTATAATTATGTTGACGTACACCAGGAAAAATAAATGTTACATAACTCTTGTTTCACAACACAATGTGTCTGTCAAACATCCTTGTTAAACAAAGTACCAGCATAAAACAACGGGTTCTTGTGATGTATGTAATTTGGACAAAAGACACTGCTGCGTTACATTTTCCTGTTCCTAATGAATTGAAAAAATACGTAAGTTACATTTACCGCTTGGTTAGCTGTTAGCTTACGTTATTTATGATGTAACTACTAAATAATATTAGACTGGAGATTCGGGCTTAATAAATGATAGATAATTAAAGGTAAAATTAAACCAAATAGTAACAAACATCAATTAAAATAGCGTGTTCAGTTCACAACCGCAGTCTGCCCAATATTTTCCGATCATCGTAGCCACTACAGGGAATTTTCCAGCGCGTAATGAGCCTTGTTGGTTAATCCCAATTTGCATGAGTGAGCGATATAATTACACGCCAAATTGTTATGTTAATAGTTGTAAAGATCTGGCTATCATATCTGACGATTTTATTTAATTAGAATCTGGTAGATTATAGTCCGCTGACAAGAAAATTGGTTGATTTGTTAACAATCGAATGGTGGAGAAAAATATTTATTTAATTTGTGCTATTTTGCGTAGTTTAAGTATATTTATCCAGCAAACAAATGCAAAAACTTATATCTAAAAACGTAACCTGGCGCAGTCGGGTAAAAAATAATGTTAGATCAAAAGTGACATTTATTATCAACCTTCCATTGAATGCACTTTGACATCTGAAATTTCCAAACTACGTGTGAACTCTTACCGATAGAACTCAGCGAGGAATCTTCGATGACAGCCAAGCTGCTGTTGTGAACTGTAAGATGGCGGATGTCCAGGCCCAAGAAGATATACGCCGGTAGCTTTGCCAGGTTGTTGTGTCGCAGCTTCAAGTAGAAAATTATCATCGGTTTGGAGCGAAGTGTGTTCATAGCCTGCAAGCAAAACAATAATTTATTCAAATGTCGACGAATATTGTTTCCATGTGACTAATGACGTGAGCCAAGGCCAGGGCAAGGTCAGATTTGGTAATTGATAAATAATAAACCCCTTTACGACGTCAGTTCAAAAGCTTTCTGTTTAAAAAACAAAGGTGTTCTGAGGGTCTATTACTATAATATAACCTACTCGTGTAACAGGAAGGTTTATTATAACAGGAAAGTCGTTTGAAATCACGAACTATTGACTATCGTTTAGTTATCTCACTTTCGCTCCGTGTTTACACACACAAGCCTTACTTCCAAGGAGGTAAACTTTGTTTCTTGCAGCGACAGCCTCACCTTCTGTATGTGCTGCTGCTTTGTAAACTCACAGAGGATGTCGAGCCCGTTCTCCTTGACGATGCAGCTGCAGGTCGTCAGAATGTTGAAAGCGGGGCACTACTGCGTGCCTTGAGGCTCTGATCTAAAAGCCCTAGAGCAAGCTTGCTTCTTGCAGTTACAGCCTCACCTTCTGCATATGCTGCTACTCTGTGAACTCGCAGAGGATGTCGATCCGTTCTTCTTGACGGTGCATGCGTCATGCCGTCATGGTGTTGGGCGCGAGACACTGCTGTGCGCCCTGTGGATGTACCAGCCTCTGATCTAAGAGCCCTAAAGCAAGCTTGCTTCTGGCAGTGACAAGCCTCACCTTCTGTATGTGCTGCTGCTCTGTGAACTCGCAGAGGATGTCGAGCCCGTTCTCCTTGACGATGCAGCTGCAGGGCGTCAGAATGTTGAAAGCGGGGCACTACTGCGTGCCCTGAGGCTCTGATCTAAGAGCCCTAGAGCAAGCTTGCTTCTTGCAGTGACAGCCTCACCTTCTGTATATGCTGCTGCTCTGTGAACTCGCAGAGGATGTCGAGCCCGTTCTTCTTGACGGTACAGCTGCAAGGCGTCATGGTGTTGGGCGCGGGGCACTGCTGTGCGCCCTGAGGGTATGCCGGCCGCGCGCACAGCACCACGCAGCAGGCGACCAGCCAGCGCGCCAACATCGTTAGGCTACCTGGGAGGAGAATGGACTTCATTAGTGTATTTGTTAGATTTTTAAAAGCAATTAATTCATGGAAGGTTACTTAAGATAGTCCTAGCAGTATTCCCGTACTTAATATTTGAGGCTTATAAAGAGTCAGATAAATGAATAAAGGGTCGTGATGAACATTTTGTTATCAGTGCAGAAGTAAAGAGATGAATTTAAAAAAAATTTTGTAGTGTTGCCCTTAAATATTAATTCTTTTTTGTTTTATTATGATAATTTATATCATAATACCTAAATCAAAACAGAAATCTGTTTGCACAATTACTACACACTTTTCAGCTCTTGCTTACTCATTCTAGCTTCAACCTTCTCGTTGTATAATACAGACGAAAGGCAAGCAGGATAATATTTCAGCAATGACTTGCGTATCTCTAGAAAATCCTTGTACCCCAGCTGCAACAATTTTATAACGAATGTACAAGCAACCACATAAAAACACCATCACCTTGTTTATGAGGAGCGTAAAGCAGGAATTCTTATTTTTCTTGTAGAGTCGAGCCAAAAAAAAATACAATTATTTTGAACCTTAAACTAGAGACATAAAGGTCAAAATTTTCTGCAAAAAGTCTTCTTTTTGTGTTGTACAATAATAGCCATCTTTAAGTACTCGTATTTCCAACTTTTGTAACACAAAAAGTATCGAGTTAGAAATAATTTAAGTGCAATTCTAATTGCGTTTGTGAAAACAATATTTTTGGTGAGTGCCCCTTAATGAATATTTAAATTCTGTTTCCCTCCATTTTTCCTTATATCCGCCATTTGCTGATATTACGGGCTCCAAGTATTGTATGGGGAGCGGAAGGAATAGAAACGGCGGGGGAATACTAATAAACCGAATATGAATGGGCTCATCAAGTTAGCTTGCTAGTCATTTGATTATTTCTGACTGGAATTTTGGCAAATCCTATCATGACGTTTCGTTTATTTTTATGCACGTGGGCTATAATTTGCTAAAGTTTAAAATTCATTTTGTACCTACTGTTTTAGTAAAATTAGAATTCTGAAACAAAAGAATGTCGCGTACTTAACTCCTTGCCTCCATGGAATACCTACTTATGTTTTTCTTCTTGTTATATTTCTATTTCTTCAGGCCTCGTGTACTGTACATAATCTATAGAATTCAATTTGTCTCAGTTTCTTGATCAAAGCTTTAACATTCGACACAATTTCTATATTCTACAATTAAGTTAAACATTATTTGGACATGTAGTACATTTTCTGTGTTAAAAAGTAGACAACATTTTTAATAATGATAAAAGAGAACGGTTGAACAGATATAAATTAAAATAGCAAAACTTAGAAATGAAATTGAATAAACTTTACTGTGGCTTAAAGAAAACTTGGACTCTAGTCGTTAGTTTGAAAATAAAGTGATTAAGAAATAGCCTTGTCTGGCAGCCGTCCAGGTAGGTACAATTAAAGCAAACTTAATGGAGGTACTGACTTTGCAACTTTAGTTTCTTAACAACTCTATAAGACAGCAGAAAAAAATGCTAAATTAGACCTGGTAAAATTATAGTTTTATATTAAACAAATAATAAAAAACTTATTTGAAATAATATTTTTGTATTGAATAGCTCATTTACCGAGGAAGGCTTTAGGCTATATTATTATTTATTAATATAACATCACCTACAGTCAATAGGGGCGGAGCAGTAAAGAAAAATGTTGCAAAAACGGGAAATTTTATTCAAATTATTTTCACGCGAACGAAGTCGCGGGCACAGCTTAGTTTCTCGTATGTTCAAACTTTGTTTTCTTTCTTCTATCGATTGTGGTATCTAAATTGACGTCATACTTAAGTGGTGTCGAATCCGAAATCCGTCAGTGGTGCATCAGATATAGCTGAATCGAACTGACCGCGGCTTTACGCAAAATTACAAAAATATTATTGAAATATTTTCGGAAACATCAGACTAATTCAAGCCTGCAATTAACAAAACAAACTGAAAAGTATTTTTTTTTTCATGTTCCGAAAAACCCATTTTAAAAGAAAGAAAAAATATTTATTTGGTACTAAAAATGGAATTATACACATTGAGAATATGGATTGAATTACATTTAAAATGTCTGCGTACATATCCTAAAAAGTAGATAAAGGGTTTCAATTTTAAACGTTTCATTTGTGTAAACCTCGAATATTATTTCTCTAAGGTAATCCTGAAAGTTTTTTTTAGAATCCATTTACATCATCATTAACTCATCAACATAAATAAATGCTGTACTGTTCCAAAANCCCAAGTCTATTGTTGTGCAATTCAATAGCCCACGTGTGCGTGACACATTCTTGGCTGCATCCATCAAATATAATAAAAATAAAAATCCTGAAGAAAAATTGAACAGCAGTCTGCTCGGCATTGCGGGCAAAAGAGAAAATATCTACATCGTCGAACATTTGTCTCCAGAAAACAAGAACTTACATGCTGCAACCAGGATTAAAGCGAAGAAACTGGGCTACCAGTATGTGTGGATACGCAGCGGCAGGATCTTTGTGAGGAAAACGGATGGTGCCGACTACAAATACATCAGAGACTTTGACGCCTTAGATAAGTTAGATTAAGATAGTTATATAAACTTATTTTTTTCTGTATTAATATTGTATAAGTCTATAACTGCCTAAATTTCGAGGGTCTTAAAATTTACTATCAAAATGTCAGGGGAATGAGAACGAAACTTAATGATATCTATCAAAAAATTGCTTGTTGTTGTTATGACATAATAATGTTTACAGAGACATGGTTAATAGGTGATATTTATGACTCAGAAATTACTGATGGTCAATACACAATCTATAGGCGAGATCGAGCCACTAGTATTTTCAACTGTAAAAGTAATGGGGGAGGCGTACTGATTGCTGTGTCCAATAGGTACAAATCGCACAGATTATTTCACTTTGAAAGTTCGTGTGATGACGTTTGGGTTAAGTTATCGCTGACAGCTGGTAAAAGAGTTAGAGATATTTATGTTTGTACAGTGTATTTGCCCTCTCCCATCAACCACAGAATACTTGAACACTTTATCGATAACACAAACAGAGNCCCTTGGAACTGGAAGATTTCCAATCGCATGATTTGGCCGTGCCCGCCTATGACGTTGTGGAAGGTAATATTTTTTTATACTTTAACACTGCATCTTTTTATGTTGCATTATGTTTTTCATTCTTTAATTTTTATGTTATGTTCGCAGAATGTGAAGTGATAACAACGGAGTCTTTGCAAAGCTCTGGAGATGAGCCTGATGAAGATGACACGTCGACCGAGACCTACCCTGTCAGTCCCGTTGCCTCACCTATCAGCGGTAAATATTACATACTTTTACATTATTAATTTTATAATGCGCAAGAGGTTAAGCTAGTGCGAACCTTGGCAAGTTGCGTATAGTGACTACTACTTATTTAATGTGGTTATTTTATTTCATTTTTAGAGCCGCCGTATCATTGGACTCAAGCAGTTGCCACGAGACTCGTGCCTGTGGCAGCTGACTTCAAATTCACATTTAGGAAGTCACTCAGTAAGTATTTTTCACAATTCACATTAAAATCTTCGCCACTTCAATCTTATTAGAAGCTCTTTCGACCCGGAGGTCCTGTGTTCGATTCAATTTAACACATAAGTGGTTCTTCCGTGTTGTTTGTTTGTTTGTTTGTCGTACTTAGACTTAAAAATCTCCTTTTTATTGCATACTCTAAACAAATTGAATTATTGTTACAGGTACTGACAGCTGTCCGAGCTCTCCAGCCCCGGTCAAACCGGCGCCCCTGCCTCCTCTTGGCTCTACGCCGAGGAGGCAATCCCGAAGGAGACTTATAATAATCACAAAAGTTAAGAGAATTGACTTCGATGTGCCGGAGGAATAAATAGTTATTCCTCTAGCAGATCGAAGACAATTTTCTTAACCTTAAGTTAAGTTAATAAAATAATAAACTTAAGTTAATTTGTAACGTAGGTATTAAAATGTAAATATTAATTTGTAGTTAGTTTGTAAGTTTGTTATGTTGTATTTTTTTTAATTTCGTATGTGTATTGATTATATTATATTAAGTATTCTTAAAATATGTACTCTTTTATTTTATTAAACCCTTTCAATTAGAACATAGTAGGGTCGCCATTAAAGAAAAAAATGCCCATCAATGCGTTTTGAAGTTCGAAACTCCTCCAAAAATATCAATCATGGTATATTTGGAGTTAATTGACCACGTGCATCCATCCGATCCATTACGTGCACAATAGGTGCACGTAATTTATGTTATGAAGCCACTTTTAGCATAAACAGCATAATACTAGTGGCCGCCCGCGACTTCGTACGCGTGGACTTCGTTTTACCCCGGTTAGATATAATGTTGATAGATGGCGTTGACGTCGGTTAAAATGGAGAGCGGGCACAAAAACGTACGTCATGGCAATTGACATAGAAAAAGCCTTCGACACTGTAGACTTAAATGCCCTTAAAGATATTCTTGTGTCCAGAACCAATAAGACTCTGACCAATAGGATCATTAAAGTTTGCATGAATTAATCCACATGCGTCAAAATAATGGTTCGGGCAGCAAACCAGGTTCGTCACCAAAAGAAAAGGAGTAAAACAAAGCTGCCCACTGTCACCCCGTTTATTCACCATAGTAATAGATGACGTCCTTTAAACACTCCAAGAAGAAATATCAATACTCCGGCTAAATCAAGATTCGTATATAAGCCTTCCCATTTGCCTGCCGACGACCTTATCATAATAGGGACGAAACCAAGTCATCTGAAACTAATTTTCACGAGTCTCAAAGATCTTCTACTAACAGTGGGACTCAAAATCAACGACACAAAAACAAAAATCCTTCTCCTGAATTTCAGATAAAGACGGCCTCGTGAAGTATCCACGAATTTAGCCAAGAGTCGAAACTTATTAAAGACCTAATTAACGACACTCAAAATGTCTTTATTTATTCCCTACGATATTTTGACAAATGAAATAAT